GGGGGGGGGGGATTTAGCATAATGATGTTGTTACGCACCTGAACATATGCATCATTCAGCACCATCAAAAACTGGTAAACACATTGCTCCTATGCCTTAACACTACCACGGCACCACCACAAGTACACTTACTCTCATAAATAGAAGCCAACTCATCCTAGAGTTGCTTTATTTTGTTGAAGTATGAGGCAATGTTAAAAGCACCTTGAGAAATGTGAGCTAATTCCTTCTTTAGTTCAAAAACTCTAGCCCCATCAGCCTGCCCATACCTAGTCTCTAATTCCCTCCAAATATCCTTGGCATATTCAGAATACACGACTGTGCGATGGATTTGCTTAGTGATAGAGTTGGAAAGCCATGCAACAACTAAATTATTGCATCTCTGCCACTGTCGCATGAGAGGAGATCCCTCAGGAGGTTTCTCAACAGTCCCATGGATGAAATCCAATTTATTTCTAACGGAAAGCGCAACCAATACGGATTATCGCCAACTCCCATAACAAGTCACATCAAATGGCTCAAAGACTAAAGAGCTCCCCAAAAAATCAGAAGGGTGAACATATAGAGGATGGCAAGGGTGAGTATAATCATCAGGATGGAAAGGAAGACGGGTGTGTGTTGGTGTAGTATCACTTGTAGTGTCAGAAATTGAAAGCGAATATGCAACAGTTATCGCCATTAAAACAAAAAAAATGCTAAAAACAGTAATCCTATTGAAGAATCATAAGACAATAGGAGAAAATGAAAAAGAATACCAACTCTTCTCGCAGTCGGAGAAGGTACGACCTTGAAATCAAAAAAAATCACCAACAAAACCTAACACATGTTGTTTGGACCTTGATGTGCAAAGTTGAAGCAATAATCAGTGAAGAAGCGTTAGTCATTGTGTTGTGCAGAAGAAAAGACCCCAATATGGCTCGACCAGTAAAAAAATCCATTGATTTCGTCAGTTTCGTCGGAGATCGTGACGGTGATGAAATCCGATGAGGGTAACCTCAGAAGGAAGAGGAACACCGGATCTATGAGATTCCGGGCTCTGATACCATGTTAACAACAATAATGGAGGTGAAATCAGGCAGATTTAATCTAGGGTTTTAGAGTAAGAGAGAATGAGCTTTTGATATTATTCATGAACTGAAAGAATAAAAATATGATCTATCACTTTACAAATGAGAAGCCCAAACAATATGTATACCTGACCCGGCTTCCTCTCTAACCCAACTTGGTTAATATAATTACAAAGAAGGAAAAATGGGCTTAGCCCAATACAAATAATAATAATAATAAAAAAATGGGCCTAATACTAATGAGGAGTGGGTGGTATATTTCTAACAATCTTAATATTTAGAGATAATTCCAATGACCTCCCTCCACATTTAGTTTGGTAACATTAATCTTTCTTGTTGTTAACATATTAAGCTACTTTTTTTTTATTTTAATTATTCTAGCAGTTATTTTAACATATTTATATTAATAAAAAAGATTACTGTTCGCCTAATTTTCCCTTTTTTTTTAAAAAAAAAAGGAGCTCTTCTACTTAATTACTTTTAGAACAAATTATTGTGAAAAATCTTTTTTTTTTTTTTTTTTTTTTTTTTTT